GACCCTTAATTCTCCATCTTATTTCACGGTAGACATTCCTATTTTTCTTTCAAGTGGCATTAAAAAACCTTCAAGTATTTCACCATACCCCCTCATCTCTTCTCTCCCAAGTTTATTCACTTTTGGCTACAAAAACTACCTCCAACATATTATTTTATTCCATCTCAATCCAAAAGGTTTTTTAACCCTATTTTACACTTTTCAATTCTGTATTGATTTTTGCAAAAATAAAAAAACAATAATTCAATTGTGTTTAAATTGTGTATGTGCACGTGTGTGCACGAGACTGAGAGAGAGTTTACAAAAAGTGCAAAATAGGGCTAAAAAAGCTTTTGGATTGAGATAGAATAAAACAATTTGTTGGGGCTAGTTTTTATTGCCAAAAATAAACGTGGGAGAGAAGAGATGAGAGGGTATCTTGAAATACTTGAGGTTTTTTTATGATACTTAAAAGAAAAATAGAAGGAGGGTCTACCGTGAGATAAGATGGGGAATTAGGGATATGTACGAAATTTTCCCTTGTTTTAATGTTGAAAAACCTTCTAATCGATCATTTTGCCATCGAGATGTATGAATATGAAAAAAAAAGTATTTTGGGTCCAAAAAATAGTGCATCTTGCAACATATTATCTAGACCGTCTATTTTCAAGATTTTTATATATTTATAGATCTACTTGATTTTAACCATTTTTTGAGTTTAAAATTTTATAATTAGATATGAAAATAGATTTTCAGATAATCCTAATAATTTTTTACACCAAAATTATATGTTATAATAAAATTTGGAGGTGAGTCTTAATTGGATTGTTTAAGGTTGTAACCTTATAGAAACCACACCATATATCTATATATAGATATATATATATAGATAAAACTATGATTCAATCTGGATCTGATCCAAATTTCGGATCCTAAGCCGAATCCAAATAGGATATGAAATTTGGGATCCAAACCGGGTACTTTCTAAGCCCTACATGAGTATTTGTTGAGATGGAAGTGACAAGTTAGGAGCTTTTTTTTTAAAAAAACTTTTTGCAAAAAAGATAGTACCAAGAGACTCAATTGATGCATATGCTGCTTGGGTAATATCATTACATGCTACATGTTTTGTTATGAATATATCCTACACTATCCCACCTTTAATTTGAATATGGGGAGGATGTAGGTGCCTCTAGGTACACATCTAGTCCACCCTCCCAAAATTCATTTTGGAGGTGAATTTTGGATCCAAAATTTTGCATGTCCTCCATCTTGACCACCATATGAATAGATAGATGATTTCATATCATTCGATCTACATTATTTTTGGATTCAAATTTATGGAGGGAGAAATGAATTCTAGAAACCTTGTATTTTGGATCTGCATTGATCATTACAATGGATTTGCAGTGATTTGAGGGGTTTGGATCCATAAAACCGTGAAAACTGAGGCAGATGTATGAATCTGCGGATTCACTGAAAACACCTCCTGAAGCCCCTTCGAAGTCTTGGATTCTTGTAGTTTTTCTCTTGTATTCTGAATTCTTAGACACAAGTCGAAACAAAAAAAGAGTCACTATGGTCTCTTTCTGGTAGATTACTAAGATGCAATTTTCCAACAAGACCTTCAAGAAGGGAGTTATGTGGAAATAAGTTTTTATCGAAAAATTTGTGAGCATTTTCTGGCTTTTCTTGGCAAATTATATCGACCAATGTTTTAGAACCCGAAATCAGGTTTTGGATTGCCCACCCACTATATCAATTTGGATCAGCCGAATAGGTGAAAAATACAAAAACAATAAAATTCAGATCCGTGATCCCCAATCCCAATAGCCAGATTTTAAAAAATTGAATTATGAATTTTGCTTCTTATGACTTATCTCAATCAACTGAAGGTAAAGTAGGTAACCAATATCTTCCATTTTCTACGTGGGGAAATAATGCTTTCTTGACCATGAACACTATCAAACTTTCATTTCCACCAAATGAATCTTATGAATACATGCTAATAGGTTTAAACTCAAAAAGCAATTTCACCCTAAAACCATCAGGATTGTCTAGTGCTGAGAAAACTGATAAAAAGACAATGCCTTTAATCTTCCTAAATTGATTTCCCAAGTTATCAACCTAATAATGTTTGAAAAATGACCAAGGTACCCTTCATACTTTAATAACAGAAGGGAAAGGATTTTGTAGGGCCGAAAACTTTATAATACTGCATCTCAAATCTCGTCGAAAAATGAAGTTCATACCTACATTATTTTTGAAGCGTCAAAATCCATTGTCAAGGGCATAGATAGAACTGTAGGCCATCACAAAGACTTCTGAAACGCCATCTTTAGGCCAGGATGTGAGGTTAAAACCAATGCCCTAAGAAAACCGCACCCATAGTAGAATCTAGTTATACATTATATGTCACCGACTTACCCAGAATGCTATTCTTTGGTGTCAATCACAGAAGTTCTCTAATCTCTTACACTTTGTGGAATGCCTTGGAGAATGGTCAGGATCCATGGCTAAATTTTGTTTTGGGCCTTATTTGCTGAAAATTTAAGACATCAGCATATTATAATGATCCTTGTCATAAAAAAAATGTAAACTTGGACTTCCATAAGTCCATTGAGAATGGGGTGGATCAGATCATAATATGTGTGAATTATGGCCATGCTTGGGTCATCATGGCCAAAGTGCTCCACTTACTTAATGGGTGGGCTCCTTTTTTCTCCCACCCCAAAAGCCCTTTTTAGCCCCTTTGACTTTGTGGCTCTTACCCTTTCCCATCCCTAAAATCTAATTCCACTAATCTAGAATCACCCATCATACATTTCTTTTGGTTTCTAATAGTTTCCCCTGGTGAAGAATTGTTAAACAACACTTCAGACATCCACAAAAGGGAAAAAAAAAAATTTAGACCCTTGGCTATCAAACATGTGACAGATCCTAGAGGGCATTTTTATGTTTAAGAGGGTTATTTTGATCATATCATGGCATTTTTTGTGGTGTTCCCTTTCTTGGATAAGGGCTCTCTATGGTTTTCAGTTTATGCACTAATATTGTGCTTCTCTCTCAAAAATTGAGTAAAGTTAGGTCAATATCCACTCACCACCAAGTGGAACTGCATCCAATGGATAGAAACTTGGTTTCTTCCTTTGTGATGACAGCCAGGAGGTAATAATTTATGCTTTAGAGAGAGAAGCTTCCAATGAGAGCATTTCCTATATAAACACCTTAATACTCTTGGACTGCAAAATAGTACATGGAAATCTAGTGAAAAGCTGCTTCACTAGTGACCATTACTATTGATGGGGACCTTCAATGAAAAATTTTTGATTCTTTTGATATTTGTTTTGTTGGGTCTTTCCTCTTTGGTATCCATTAAAGCTATTCCTCTAACCAGTAAGTTTCCTTCATTTCTTCTCTTATTTTCTTTCCTGTCTGTACCTTGGGTTATTTACCTATTTTTCTTCTTTCAGGTTTTCTTTTACTTGACATAAGAAAAAATAATTTAACTTCTCCCATCTTACTATTTCTGGGTGTAATTTGAAAACAGGGAGCCTGCAGATGGAAAATCACTACCTTCAATCTGCAGATGATACCAACCAGGTATTTCTCTAATCCCTGTTCATTTAAGTTAAAAAGTAAGAGAAATCATTCCTTTTCGTTTTCCCTTTTTCTCTCTTTTTTCGATTTGAAACATTTTTAGGTAATCCAGCTCTATGATTCAAACTTGGGACCTTCTATTGCAATCATCGACACGTTAACCAATCAATCCTAAGCCCCGACCCTTGAATGGCACCCCTTAAGAGATAGAACTTGCTAAAGGACTCGATTATTTTATCACTACCATTATGGTAATAATAATTTTGAAGGGCTTTCTATGAAAGTGATTCTATACATTATATTCGCCTTGACAAGATGCCGAGGCCTAGTAACTCAGCCGAGCGTGAATTAAAATTGTCACATTTCAAATGAACGAGTGCCACTTACATGTCTGCTTTTTAATTACTAAAGACTGTTGAGTTCATCAGATTGATATTCTCTTATTATACAAAAATTCTGACTGTAAAAACCAGTTGGTGACTGAGGAAATTGGAGAAGAAGTGATCAATGGCAGGATGGATATCGAGTGTTGTGATTATCCGGTATCCGGGGCCAACCGTAGACATACTCCACGACAACCAGGGGGAAAACGTTAAGTCATGGGTACCTCATAATTTTTTTTTTTCAGTTCTAGTAGATGATTCATGTTCATAGTAAACCATATAGTATCTTACTGATGTTCCAAGCTGATTGTTTGGTAATTTCTTTTTTGCTTTTTTTTTTCAACTTGTAGTTATAAATGATTGTTGTAGTACACTGGCTTCTTTATAAAGAGGTTTGATAATTTAATAGAAATTAAAGGAAACAAAAAAGTAGAACAAAAAAAAGGCTAGAATTAAAAGAAGCATCCTTATTTGGGTTCCTGTTTTTTGGTTGGGGTTAAGGATGGTGGTTCACATTTGTGGGTTTGAACCGGAAAGGAACGCAGAGGGAGTCGGACACAAGCTCCCAGCAACCAGTAGCCCGGCGAGCTTGCACATTGCCCTGGTCTTTGTCTAGAAAAATTAATGATCATCATATGCGTGTGTGCATGTGTGTATTTCGATTTCTTTTTCTTTTGCTCCGTTGTCGGGATAAAGCTCGAATAATGATGATCATGAAAATTTTGGAAATTCGATTAAGTATTAAGGTATTTTATTGTGAATGTAATCACAAATTGGGTCCAAAATGGGGCCTACTTATTAGTAGAGTTTGGGAAACCAAGCATCTGACTAAAGTGTTAACGCGTTCATTAGGTATTTTACTAAAAATTACTTTTACTCATAATTAGTGATTTGTCCAAACTAACTCAAAACTCTAGAATAGGATGAATTCTTTCCTATAGCATTTGGTCACACCCATAAAAGATCTCTCTCCGGGCAATACCTTCCATGGGCGCTCAATATACTAAGGCCTCGTTTGGAGGTCCCCTTTGTTAGCTATAGCAACAAAACTACCGCATACTTAAGTTAAAGAATGGAACTCTACTTATCAGAAAAATACCATTAACAAGTTTTATTTTGGCCTTAGAAATAAAGCAGAAAAACGAAAACTGTTTAACTAATAACCCAAAAAGGTTGGATGTTATCAGCTTGATTATGATTTATGACCAACGGCGAATTTTACTTATCCCTTAATGATAATTAAAGATAAGACTTGGTTATGACTAACGAGACAGCCAAACAGGACCTAAGAAAACAGCACCTCTAATCTCTCCATTTTCGTTTCTCATGGTGTTAAACATAGTAAGAAGTCATTGGTTTTGTGGAAAATAACATAACTCAGCCATCACATAATACATGTGCAAACCCACTCAAAGAAGAACAATCATGGAGAGAGAGAATCAATTGCATCGAGATCCAACGCTGAGTTGAATATTACAAATAAGTTTTATGGTATGCATGGATCACATAAAACTAACTCTTCCCCATTGTTTTAATCAATTTTGGGGAAGAGAGAGAGAGAGTAAGTTTAATATGTTATGCATAGATCTCATCGCATATAACTCCTATCCATTTTCCGTTAAAAAAAAACAGTCCCATCCATTTTGCTAGTCAATGTTCATTTTGCAAATATTCTTCTTGATACGCCCAATAGAAGAGACGGACAAAATTAATTTTGAGAACCTTGTGTAAATTTAATACCAATCTAATTAAATGGAAGGCAGCCAACGTGCATGTACTATAACCTTAGCCACTTTCATATATTGTAATGTTAGCCACTTTAAATAGTAGAGGTCAGTTGCATCTCAAATTTTAATTTTAGGCAATTAAAAAAAAAGAAAGGAAAAGAAAAGAAATAAGAATTCGTACGAAAGATATAGTAAAAAATGAGACATTTTATGTGGAAGTTTGCTATCGATTTGATGAATGATTGATCTAGACCTTCAAGGACCCAAAATTATTTTTGTATAAAATTATTTATTTTTCAACTCAAAGATGTTGTAAAAAATTGTTAGCCCAAAAAAATCCCTTTTAACCATATGTTTCGGAACTCGGCTTGTACTATAGCTATAAAGCCCCTAGATTATAGAAATTTTTTCAAATAATGGAAAGTATCTTTCATTAAGTTTGCAATTAGAAGGGTACGGGTTAACCAACAAAATATTCTGTCATGTGTTATGTTCTGTTATACGTGTAACATCTTGATTCTTGAATGAAATAGACGTAGACGTACTTTTGTCACAAAAACCAAAAAGAAAGAAAAAAGAAAAAAAAAAAAAATTTGTGTTCTCTTAAGAATATTGTCTTGATCAAGGAACCATGGAGGAGAGTAAACACCTATTAAGCATTTCGGTATTGAGAGCTAGTGGCTTTTAATCCTTAATTTTATAAGGCACCACTGGAAGAATAGCTTTATATCAAAGTCATTAGCTAGTCTTATGAGCTTCAAAAATCAAATGACTATGATTGTAAATAAGGTCACTTTAGCCGCCTTTGAATGTATCTTATAAGCACCATCAACATCTTAACAGACTACCCAAATCAAAATATAAGTATATGTTCATACACTCTGAGGATTATAGAATGGATTGGGTTTCTATGAGTCAGCCGACTCGTATTAAGTATATGTGGGCCCACCATTAAACCATCTTGAAAATAGATTTTTAATAAAAAATTTTAAGGACTCAAGGCTAAGATGATTATGAACATGAAAATATAATAAATTTTTTAATATTTAAAATGTGATTTTAAAAGAAAGACAATTCTACACCGTATAAGCCTTGTGGACTTATTACAACGTGAATCAGCCGGCACTTGCACCCACTGACTCATGCATGACTTTTCTTTATATAATTAACCATCAAATAAAGTTTTCAACCCTTCTCTCTCTCCAACACCTCGCCACCCTCTCTTTTTTCCCCTCTCTTACATTTTTTATTTTGTATTTTTTACATTAGCTTTTTGCTTTTGAACAAAAAAAAAAAAACATACACGCGCACAAAAATTGCATACAATCAAAGTAACCTGAAAACCTTATTAGAACATGCACTTTTGGTGTTGACAACTCGTATAATGGCTTAAATATCTATCTATAACCCTAAATATAAAATTCAAATGCAAATCAGGTAGATTTATAGGCATTTTTAAAATCTTGAAAATGGATGGCCTAGATAATATATTATAAGATGCACTAGTTTTAAGACTTGGTCATTTTTTTTTTCATGACCATATATTTGCATCTTGAGGTTAAGATGATCAATTGAAGGCTTTCAAGCATCAAAATAACTTTTTACGATGGCTTTTTAAGGTATGACTTACTTCTATAGCAGAAGGTTGGGCCATTATATAAACAGAAAGAATGTCATTATAAGCATTTCTCATAATGATATTCTCTCTGTTTCTTTTATCCAACAACATTTTTATCCATCTACATTTTTATGCATGAGGTTCCGGTACATTTGAATTAGGTGAAATAAAATTTTGAATATGTAAATTTAGAATGAAGGGCGAGCTTTTGCTTTTAAAATTAAGGTCATACAAATGTCCTTAACACGATTTTTGAATATTGTTTCGTCATCTTATTATAGAAGCATTGCATGAAATCACTTATATTTTTGAATATGTATTAGGGCCTACCTTTAAATTGTGTCAAGAAATACGTTTCAATATTGGAAATCTTTGTGATAGCCTTAAAATATATTATCATCTTCATTTATAATGCTTAAAGCTTCAAAAATAGTGTAGATCGACAAATCTATGAAACCTTACAAAATCTTGAAAATTGATGATAAAAAAATGCATTACAAAATACAATATTTCCAAAACTTGAATTCTCATGTCCATGCATGTTGATGTCGAGATGATCAATTTGAGGATATTTG